GGCTGGGCCCAGCAGCGCAGTGTGGAGGGAAAGAGAAAAGTTTCAACTTTAGACGAGAGTCTGCACTTCTGCCGCCCGTGGCAATACTAATACCAATAGGCGCACACCGCGTATATCGGAGACAGACGGGGAGCGGACTTCCTGCGGCGAGCGCCTTTCTCTCTTTTTTTCGCAAAAAAAAGTGTATATTTACACTAAGGAAAAAAAAAAGAAAACATTTTACGGCGCGTCCGAACAGCGCGAGAGGCCGGGTGGGCTGCTGGGTAAAGCGTCACGAGGCATATTACGAGGGGCACACAGCAACAGCAGCGGCAGCCCTTAGCTCCGGGGAACGACGCCCTTACAAGGGCGTAATGAATGTCGCATTTTGCGGGCAGGACGCGGCGCAGACCGGCGCGGAGGTGCCTGCCGCGGAGGACGACCCCAGTCCTGGTATTCCCAGTGACCAGCGCCTCAAAGTCATCCGCGAGGACCCCGTGGTTTGCGCCATGTACTTCACCCAGGGAAGTGTGTTCTTGACCCTTGATTAGTGATGGATTCTTACCGTAAAATTAAAACGTCGTGGTAAAATACGGTAATTTACGGTAAATTACGGTATTTATTGGTAAAATTGGTAAAATTCGATTTTGGACGTTTTAAGGCCTGTGATTAGACTTCCGGAATAAGAAAGCTGTGATACTCGTATTTCATTATTTCTATTACATCATAATTTGTAAAACATCCGTTTTGTGAGAAAATCCGCACACTTAGCTATGCATTTATAGCATTCATAAGAAATATCATTGTGGGAAGACGAGTTACGATCCTTTCCCCCATAGGTATCTAGATCTGAATAACACGACATTTCTGCGATGGCTTTTACAACGCGAATTACAAAATCTCAATGATGATGATTACCTCATGTTCGTTGCACACCTCTTTCCTCTTATATTAATATTGAGGCAAAATATACTAGTCTTTTTACAAAGGCTAATTACAAAAACTGGAAAAAATGTCTGATGAAGGACACCAGTTTTTTTTGTCAGTTGGATAATTAGAATTAAGTAAGTGAATTTTGTGCCATGCATTGTAAAATGCACGGTAAGTAGCTATCATAAGTAGAGGTCTAAACAACACCCCAGAAAGAAAGGGCTTATTGAAGATCAGCTGTTAAGTTCCTTATCCTCATGTTTGATGCTTAATCCGTTATGTCCGGTTTGCCCTTTGCGAAAAACGTATACGTGTACCAGCATAAAGGCTTGTAAATCAATTTCCCTAGATGCTAAGGGTCCCCAGACAATGTATCTGGTGAAAAGACTTTCATATATACGACGAACAGAAGGCTTTGTATCGTTTAAATCGACAAAAAGGCTGTATTTGATTTTTACCAAAAATACCAATTTTACCGGGGCTTGGGTAAATTACCGTATTTTACGGGTATTTTACCGTTTCATTCCGGTAACGTTACCGGGGCGTCCATCCCTACCCTTGATTTTCCAAGACGATTTGTATTAGGGCAATGCAATTTACAATTGGACCAATGCAAATTGCATTGGAACGAGCCAGTGTTCTTGGTTTAACCAAGTACATTTACTTGCTTCAAGAACGTGCTTCCCTGGGTGTTCCGCGAGGTGGTGGAGGAGGTGAGGCGCTGGCTGCGCATGGACCACGGCCGCGGGCCCATGGGGCAGTATCCCGTCAGGGATTACTTGTTCAGAATTGAGTTCCAGGTAACACGAATTTTCATTGTATTGAAGTATTGTTGTATCGCCTACTCCCTATGTGATTACACTTCTGTTTCTAATTTAAGTCGCGCGGCAGCCCGCACCTGCACTGCTTGCTGTGGCTGGACAATGCCTCGACAATGCCCCTGACGATCCCCTCGCCGACCCGGAGGCGGCGGCCAGGTTCATTGACGCGCTCATCTCCTGCTCGTCGAGTGCTCCCAACGCCGAGGTGAACCGCCACAAGCACACGGCGACGTGCTTCAGAAACAAGACTGTTTTGCGGCGGTTCTGGAAGAAGGAGCTCTCCGAGCAGGACATGCACCGCCACTGCCGCTTCGGTGCACCCTTCTGGCCCTCCCGGCGCACGCGCATCCTGCTGCCGCTGTACAAGAAGGACGAGCAGGATGAGCAGTTCCTGGTGGGCGGCAAGTCCTGGCGCGAGCACCTGCAGCAGCTGCGGCAGAGCGCGCCGGACAGGAGGCGGCCCCGCCGGGAGCAGCAGCCGCAGCAGGAGGAGGACACCTGGGCGGACTACCTGGAGGAGGTGCGCGGCCTGAGGCACCGCCTCAAGGACGTCCTGGTGTCCGAGACGTGCCCGGACACTGTGGAGGAGCTGTGGCGGCAGGCAGGCTGCCCCGACGAGTGCCCATCCGGTCGGGCATGATGCGCCCCATGGTGCTGTACCGCCGCGAGATGGCCGACAGGTGGACGAACTCGTACCTGCCCTGGGTCCTAGAGGTATTCGGCTCTAACACTGACGCGCAGCTCATCCTGGATGTGTACAGTCTCGTGAGGTGAGTGTCGACAGTGTTGCCTTAATCGTAGCACGCTCTGTTGCCTACCGTCCAACTTGAGAAAAGCAAATAATTTCTACCGTCTTTCATTGCAGGTATTGTGTTGGTTACATCACCAAAGGTGAAAAGACACACTCCGAGCTGCACCGACAAATGTTGCGGCTGCGCCGAGAGAGAGGCTACGACGACAGAGAGCTCCTCTACAAGATCTCCTAGAGGCCCTGCGCTCCAAGGAGACCAGCGCCCAGGAGGCGGCCTGGATTCTCCTGCAGTTTCCTCTCAGTGAGAAGAGCAGGCAGTGTCGCTTCATCGATACGTCGGTGCCTGATGAGAGGAAGCGCAGCCCTAAGACCGGCAAGGAGTGGCAGGACCTCCCGCGGGACTCCACCGACATATGGCGCGCCGACGTGTTCGACCAGTACGCCAGCAGGCCTGAGCACCTGGAGAACGTGTCGCTGGCCG